TGCATCACTAGTTCTGGGTAATTCAGAAAATCTGAGGCAGGACTCAGATATGCTGCTCCGGTGCTCGATGGTGGGTGTTACGGATGTTTGTGTGGCTATTTTTGCTGGTGCGACTACCATAGCAACAGTAACCAACCATCACAAAGCAAGGTAGCTGAGCTTTAATTAAAAGTGTATCAGCCAAGTTAGCTGCCTGTTAGGAAATGCGTTCATTTAGAACAGGCTGATTAGCCACTTCAGTGATCAACTTCTCCATTTTGATGCTGAACTATAACAGGAAGCCACTTTGCTCTTTCTGAATAAATGCATGAGATTTTTTGGCTTAACAGTCAGACTGGAGCATTTGAATAAACATATTTGATTGGCTGATACCTACACTGGGACCTCAAAAACTGGATTTTTCTCAGCTTTAAGTGCAAGCAGCACAAATAAAGTTTCAGTAAATAAAAGCAGCTTAAGCAATTATATTTAGTTGGAAAATAAATGCCCAGAAAAGTGCAGTGTGTGCATACTCACGTAGGAAATGTTTCTCCAATAAGGCAATTTCCAAATGACCCTTGACTTCGTTGAGCCGCTCTGACTCTGACCTCTGGAAGTCCTGTATGGCTGCAGCCATAGTGGGAGACCCCGAACCAGCCTGTGCACACAGACACACACATTCATTCATGCATACATACACAGGCACGCAGGCAAACACAAACAAAAACAGAGAAACAACAAAGAAAATCAGATTTGAATTCTTGTTTCCATGCACGCGACACAAAATCCACACGAGAGCACAAGCAGGGAGATCCCATATGATCGAATACACACAGATTAGCTTGGTGCAGTGACTCACACCAATGTTTCCTCTCCTGGTTCGAGTCCAGCAGGAGCGAGATAGCAGGAGGAAGGCAAAAAAAGAGGAGAACCCCCCCACCTCTTCTGACTACAGCAACACTGATGACTCAAACAGCAATGACTGAGGGATACAACCCTGACACACAGGGAGAGTAGGTGGACGAAATGTATGGCAACGACTGAGAGATGATGACTGTGTGTGAGAGAGAGAAGGGAGCGGGATGAGAAGGGTAAGGAAAAAAAGGGGAGAGCGGGTGATGAAGGAGGAGGACAGGATGAGAGAGACGGCTGTGCTAGTGCGTGATGAGCACTGCAGGTTGAGCATCGCTGCTCGACTATAGCGGGGGTCCTTTAAGAGACTCTCGCCACACAACAGACGCATACACTAACGCACACACACTGCAGCAGCTTCTCCCTGACAGCAACCGGTGAGGCTTGCATGTGCCTGCATAGACAGTCTCCCTTGCTTGAGATGTTGCAGTCTGAGGACGAGAGCGCAGTAGCACAAAACTGATGGTGACCTAAAAAAAAAAAGTGCTTTGGGAGAGAGCCAAAGTCTAACGACACCGAAGGCTGGTGAGACAGCGACGCCACGATGGATAGCGCGTCCCTGAATACAGAAGCACTTCAAAGAAAACAAATGAGAGGCTCTCCTGGAAGTGTGTCACGAAGAAGAAGAGGGATGTTGAGTGAAAGAGAGAAAGTGAAAGAGGGCAGAGAAGTAAATGAAGGAAGCAGGATGAAAGAGAGCCAAAAAAAAAAAAAAAAAAAAGAGGCATGAAAGAGAAAGATGAGGAGGAAATGTGAGGAGAGGACAGAGGGGCAAACAGATGTTTTTTTGCTGCATTGCGAGCAACGATTCTCTTTAGTTTGGATTTTGGCGGCTTTGTTTTATGTCCTACGAGGACGCATCACTTATACACGCCTCTGATGCTTTAAGTAGGCGTCCGCTCACACTCATAATGTCCTGGTTATCAAAAGTAGGTCAAACGCTGACGTCACCCTGGACAAATATCGGCTAATTAATTATTGTGTTCCCCCTCTCTCCTTTTAATGAGCATGTGATGTGAGTTTAGGAAACCCTCCGTTTGGAAAAAAAAGAGAAACTCAATCTCTTCTGAGAATGCACGCTGAGAAAACTGAACAGATATAACTGTGACAAGTGTGCAAATCACAGGAAACACCTCCATCTAATGAAATTCTCCAAGCAACAAGGTTGCTATATAAAGATCAACTTGTACTTTGCATCACACCCACTCAGCCTTCAACCATTTATCTGCAACCTCAGCAAAAGACTGCATAAGGTCACGCCCTGGAATCTATTTGAAATGCAATATTAATCCAGTCTGTCTGGTATAAAACAGAAGCTAAGAGATGCTGTTGAACTCATTTACTCCACCCATATTTTTAATTTTAAATCCAACTGTTGAGTGATTTCTGATCAGCTTCCACTGACTAAAATTGAATTGAATTTTTCTTATTGCTGCTTAGTCATCACACCTTAGCCAGTCACGTCCGCCGGCCCTGCCTGAGCCCGGTTCTGCCAGAGGTTTCTTCCTGTTAAAAGGGCGTTTTCCCTTCCCACTGTCCTTTACTCATTGTTCTAATTTTGTGGGTTTTTGCAGTATTACTGTAGGATTCTTACCTTACAATATAAAGCACCTTCATAAACCTCCGAGTTTTAAAAATGTGCTGCCATTGTGCACTCCTGCAAGATTCAAGAAACTGGTTTCTTCGCGTCTCCATGATTTGCACCTTTTTTGTCTGTGACTGGATAACTGTGTGGGTGATCTGAGTCAAGGAGCAGATTTAACACACTTCATCCTGGAGCTCTTTAGCTCTTCACAGACGGTCCTGTTTATTGAGCCACAACTCTCAGTAGTTTCTGCACCTCTCTGCTTCACGTTAGCCATTTCTCACTTCACTTATTTTATAGGCTTCATGATTATACCGGCCCCTTCCATCCACAAACACCAGGATATAAATATGTAATTGTTCTGATCACAGTATTTTCATTTTTTTTAAAGAAAGTGAGGTGTAGAAAAATGGGGGGGGGGGGGGAACTAACAGTAGTCAGCTCCTAAAAAGTATACATAATAATAATAATAATGATGATGTTTTTGGGGAGTATTCAGCTGCTTTTACTTGTTTAAAGCCTGGAAAGAGATGATGCTGCCAGATGTTGGCTAGAAGCCCAACATGAATTGACAGCTGCTTCAAAATCCTGCAAAAACTGAAACCTCTCAATCACTTCCTCAATATCTCTTTCAGCCCTTCCTGTTCGAAGGCCGGCTTTTAAAAATCGATATATAACTCGATCCATTTTCTTTTAGTGATACCTGTTGTACAGACTTTATGCCTGCTCGTGACTAGAAGTTGGATTTGTTGCCAACCTTAAAGAGAAAAACTTGAAAGTCTAAATCAAGTCAGGTTAAAATGTCAAGTATCACTGACTTACTCTTCTAAACTCTGCCGATGCAAACACTTCCTGTCTGACAGCACCTCTGTTTCCATTTTCTTCTAGCCTCTAGGAGAATATCATCAGAACAAGACAAATGCAGAGATGTCCTGGTTAGCAACAGTTTTCTTGTACAGAGGAGAGATTCGACCAGCTGCTAAGTGCTCTCCTACACTGTGAGGCAGGCTACTCTTAGCGCTTTAATGTAGGGGCTGGGCTCCTGCGCTGGAGTGCTCAGGTAACGAGACAAGTCGCCCTGAAAATGTCCAGTCCTCCCCGATTCAGAGTCATTTGAGAAGAGAGCAGCTCCTGGGATCTCACGTGCCGACTACACTCTACTCCTGATTTTTAACTCTCTCAGGAGGCTAGAAGAGAGCCTCGCAGATGAAGGTGATAATAAGAGAGGAAGACTTCAAAGCTTTGCTCTGCTTCTGAGCACATCAATAGAGACCTTCTTTGTGTCTGACAGAGCAGCGGTCAAGCGGGCCGCTGGTGGTACTTTTTGATCTGTCAATTCTAATGAAAAACAATTAACAAATGTATTTGGGCAGCAGCGAAAAACCCAAAACAAAACCACAATAGACAATAGCAGGCACATGCAAGTTTAGCAGCACTTGTTAACGAACATGCAGCTGCAAAGATAGCCACACAAGTATTATTTGTGCCTCTTCTCACTTTCACTTTTGTTTTTCTACCAGTGAAACTACCCACCCTCCCCCCTTCCCAAGCAGATTTGCTGTTAACCATGTGATTTCTAAAAAATGGCTCAGGTATCTGAGGTGTTTCTTGAAAAGTCACTTTAAAATCCAATAAAACTGATTACAAATATACAACTTAGAAGGTATACTAAGAAAAGACACCGCTTGCCACAGCAACATCTTAAAGGTTGCTCACAGCTCCTCATACATGACAAATTTAAACCCACTCGGTTGTATTCTGTAGTGTTTACAAAGTATATAAATCAGGTTTGGCTACTGTTGACATTTCAAAAGGATGACTGTAACCCAGAGCTCAACTCTTTTGGATTTTTCTGCCATTACAAAACTGATCTTTGGACCTTAATATGAAAAACAGAGAGAGATAAGAGTCTTGAGTTTAAATCCTGATGGTATCATTACAGGCTCAAGTACTCATGTCTAGTAAGTACATGCTTTGGCATTGAATGGCAGGTTCGAAGCTGTTCAGCGCTAACAGCTGGTCAAGTATTTTAAATGCATGACAACATGTAAAACTTAAAAGGAACAAATGCATCTAATTAAAATGCACACATGCAGCTGGAGGAAATGGAGACATTTGAATATATTGATGTCTACAAATGGAGATCCAATCAGCTGACACTTAGCTGCTCGGATGGTCCCGCGTCTTAATTTAAACTTGCGAGACATTTTCTCCAGGACACATTTGCCCTCTTTGTCAAACCTGCTCCTTCTATTTTGTCCTAAAACTACCCACAAAACTCATTTTTCTTCATTGGCCTCTGACACCGAGTTGCACACTGTGTCTCCTGTGCCTTTTTCAACTACAACTGTACACTTTTAGCACCTGCTAGCAAGTACTTTACTTATTTCAAATCTATTCACTTGTTTATTTTATCCACTGTGCCTTTTTTCAGCACTTTGGTCATTTAATGTGCTTAATAAATACATTTATAATTTGATTTTTACATTATTCCTATTGGGTACTTTTAGTATTTTAAGTCAGTACAATTGATTCAATTTGTAGAGCTCGTTTTAATTTATGGGGTGACTTGTTATAGTCAGTCCTTTTTAGGTGATTAATGCTCCGCATGGCTGGCGGCAGAAGCAATGCTTCATTAGTTTGGTTATTTCTTTATAACCACAATATCCTGCTTCAGAATGAGAGAAAATGTGCTACGTAATGGCAGGAATACATAATTCAGGTCTAGTTTCTCACATTTGAATATTAACATTACATTTTGGTCATTGTCTTGGCTGAAAGAGACCATTACAATAGATAATGGCTACACTGAAAGTCCAACATTTGCGGTGATCAAGCTGCCTGATCCAGCAGGTAAAGTGAGGCCGGTGAGGTCGCACGCGCTCGTCTGTTCAATGACTGAGCGCCATCTGCCCAATGACATCCTGTCTATTTAATATGGATGACACAAGCTAGTTTGTCAAGAAGTATCGGTGTATATATTCAGCAACCCAAGGGCACGCTCTTTTTAAACAGATGAGGCAATGAAATTAGGTTTCCACTTAGGCCATATGACCCAATCCTGAAGGGTAAAAAGCACACATCAGTGGTGCCACCAGGGTGGGCTCCAGTGTGACAATAAGGACCTCTTAAGGGTACTGTGGACTAAAGGTGAGATATCCACCATGCCGTTTAGGCTATAAGATACACAAGGGAATGTGGGAGAAAGTGCATGCTTCATGTGTGCATCCCAGCAGGGATGAGAGCAAGCTTGGTCTATTTTAGGGCTTCAGAGTGTGAGTCATCAGTGCTGTGATGTGGGTGATGCCTTCTCAGTGGGCTGGTATGCACACAGGCAAACACCAGAGCAAAGACAGAAAAATTATATCCTAGCTCACAGGTGCACGTGTGAAAACAAACACATGAAAATACAGACACGTTGCACATGCCTATAAAGTACGCTCAAAAGGGAATTCACGGCTAGATCACTCATTTGATTTGTGCAGGAAAACTCAAAGAAAGGCCTCATGAGCAACAGTTACCTAAACTCTCTCTCTGAACAGAGACACAGAAGAAGACAGAAAAAAAAACAATGAAAGGGGACAGAGATCTCCTGAGCATTTATTCAGGAAATGATACAATCAAGTGACTAATCTGGTGCATTTAATTATCAGTGTGCACGGCAATGACGACAATCCTGCCGTTTTTAGTCACCACTGAGGGCAGAAGAAAGCTTCAGATTTCAGAACAGCATCCAGCGTGGGGGGAAGAAATATCAGAAAACATGGTGTTTTTTTATTTTGTCACAAAGTTTAGTCTTCTTACAGTTTCCTCTGGATCTTGTCCATGCCCTCCCCTCTAGACATCTTGGAGTCCAATCTTCTGAGGCCAACTTCCTGTCCTCTCGCCTCCTCCATCACTCTCCCCGCTTAAATCTTTTCTCTCCCTCCATTTTTCATTCTCTACTTCTCACAAATGCTTCCAGTATTTAGGCTCTTGACTCATGCTGATGGCTATCTATATCTTATGTCCACTATTAGAAAAACCTCACTGCTGCCATCTCCTCCATTTTTCTTTTCATGATGAGCCCTCCCTTTTTCGTTCCTCTTCAGATAAGCAGAAAGAAGGGGACTTTTAAAAAGAGCAACATGGTTTTGTTTTTCAGCTGCAGCGCTCCTTAAACTGGAGAAGAAATTCAAACCAGCATGATAAAGGTAAAGCAAAATCCCCTGCTTGTCTCCCCCCTTTTTTCTGTTGAAGAAACACCAACTTCAGTGATTTAGCATCACACCCTTTTTAGAAGGACTAATGGATGAGTCACAAAACAACCCCAAAAAAACCAAAACAAAACCCTAAATCCTCCCATGCGTGTTTACCTTTCCATCACAGGACAAAAAACCAAACAAACACAAAAGAAGAAAACAAAATGATGAGCACTCACGGGTTCTCGCAGGACGTCCTCTGTGTCACGCAGAGCTGCTCTCGGCTTCAGCTGCATGTCGTCGCTACATTCGTTGTCGGAGGCAGGTGGCGACTCGGCCAGATCCGGGAATTCGTCTCTCGTCCTGGGGCCTCGGAAGCGGATCTTGTCCAGGCGCTTTAGCATGGTCAACACCGCACACCTGGGCTTTACCTTAACATGGCGGACGGCAACCCTGCGGGCACAAAATACACGGGCTGCTGAACAGGCAGTAAAGGACGAGTCATTAACACTGAGAGGAAAACAATGTCTTTACTCCCCTGTTGTTTACAAAACTCACAGACCCACTACAGTTCATGTAAACATGCTTTTCTTCATCGTTATATACAGATTATTGTTTACAGAATAGTTTGGTTTATATTTTACTGAATTAATTTGATGCACATACAGAGGAAGGGATTCAATTATTAGTTAAAAAAATATTCACTTAATTGTAACATATAACCTTAATCTTAAATCTAAGAAATGTAACGTGTCACGCTTCTCTTCCTGTAAGGCGGTGCTTGATCCATTTTCTCACATACCAACACATACTACAGTCTTGGACTGCATGTTCAGGCTCCAAATTTTCCAGTGTTTGGATTTTCCTCCTCTTTTTAGTCTACACAGGAATATGGGGCCACCGTATCCTGTCACTCCTCCAGCAAACAGCAGATTTAATTCACATCAATAGCTGGAAAGGTGGTGCTGGTCGAGAGGGACTGTGGGAGGCTGTTAAAGGCTTAATGGTTGCGTTTTCGTGTCAAGGGTTGACATCTAATGAAGACAAGTGGGGGCTGTTTGAGTCATCATCCACTGCAGTAAACTTGACCCTTATGAAAGTAACGAAATACAGACAGGATTTACAAAGTCATCTACCAGCAATGTGCGAAACAGGTCATGATAGTTTAACAGGAACCAGCTTCAAAGCACAACAGGTGCTAAACTGTTTCTGGCAAACACATCACAGTGCTGTCAAGGCTGCTGTTTCACATCAATAGTGCCATCCAGAAGTATGTGATCAGGACTCATCGTTTCTAAACTGGTCCGTGTATGAAATGACTAATAGACAGAAAATAGAAATATTAATAAAAATATAAAATGTTGTGTTATTGTAGTGTTTTGATCTCAATTAGCAAAACCAACACATTTCTTTCAGCTTTATGTTGTTTCTAGCTTCCTGTTCCTTTATGGCGCGTGACAGAGAAGCGCTAACTAAAGGTGATTTGACCAACTGTAGCGAGCACAGTGCGGCAGATCGCGAATTCTTGAGACCAGTGCCGACACAGGCGTTTAAGGAGTGCACGAATAAATGTCACTGAAAAGAAAGAATCGTGGGTTCATTTTTATTAGTTTTCCAGCAATGCATTTCACAATCTAACTGGCAACTTCATATGAACACGTTACTTGGCTACATGTGCTGCAATATTATCAACTGACTGTTATCCTGGCCAGGCTCTAGCTGTGACTCACTGCAACTATCACGCACTCAGTGTTTCTTCCAGAAAAAGCTGTTTGGCCTGCTGGCTGCGAACAAGGATCTAGCCTACCGCAGCCTAACAAGTGAATGTAAGGGACAGATATCAAAACGAATGGTAAACAGTAAAAAATGGTGCAAAGATTGTCCAAGTCCAAAATTATACTATCCCAAACTTTTAGCCCACTGTAGCTCCGCATTGTTAACTAGTGTAAGCAACAGCATGTGTCTACTTTAAATCCTAACAGGACAACAGAAACATGACAACACTATGGATGGGTACCACACTTTGTACTATTAACGAGTTATGTTGGTACTAACGAGTACTGATTCACACTAAAATAATCAGTACACCTACTCAAAAACAAAATGTCAAAAGCTGAAGAGTGGACTGTATCCGATAGGCTGACGGCTAAATTCAACAAAGGACCTGCAGCTAACTTTAGCACATCTGTTGCTGACTTCTCAAAAAAAAAAAAAAAAAAAAAATGAAACCTTTGGAGGATGATAACACATTTAGTGAGACACATGTGGGCGGTCGTGGCTCAAGAGTTGGGAGTTCGTCTTGTAATCAGAAGGTTGCCCGTTCGAGCCCCGGCTCCGACAGTCTCGGTCGTTGTGTCCTTGGGCAAGACACTTCACCCGTTGCCTACTGGTGGTGGTCAGAGGGCCCGGTGGCGCCAGTGTCCGGCAGCCTCGCCTCTGTCAGTGCGCCCCAGGGCTTTGGCTACAATGTAGCTTGCCATCACCAGTGTGTGAATGTGTGTGTGAATGGGTGGATGACTGGATGTGGAAAGCGCTTTGGGGTCCTTAGGGACTAGTAAAGCGCTATACAAATACAGGCCATTTACCATTTACCTCAACAGCTTCAATTACTCCTGTAATCAAGTAGACAGCTGGATCAACTGTCCTTTAACAAACAGGATTTTTTTTTATGGCTACACTAACATTTCCTATCAGCACGGTAAACAACCTTATGATTGCCTACAACCCAGTCAGACCTCTCAGGTCATCAGGTTCAGATCTTTAACTATACCCAGAATCATATCCAAGTTTGCTGAAGGTGCTTTCAGTTAATGTGGTCCTGTTCTCTGGAACAACCAACCTGCTCACTCGAGATCAATTACATCTGTGTTTACATTCAAAAACAGACTCAAAACCACACAGGCCTACAATTAATAAGTTTTGCTGTTTTGTTTTATTCCGTTTTGCTGTTTTCACTGCCTTAAAGCAACGTAAACCTACGCAGTTTTTTAAAGTTTCTTCATTTTCTATGTTAAGCACATTTTGTTTTCATCTAATAAAATCTGTTATAGTTACGAGATAATGAAAGGTATGAAAGTATGTAACCACAACCACTAACAGTCTAACATTAACATTGTGGCGTGTACAAACTGTGTCAGTTAACATCAAAGACACGATCAGACAGCTTCATTCTGTCGCTCTCACCCGAAGCTTTTAGTGCACCTGCTCTGCAACGTCTCAATATGCTCAGCTCTTCACCTGCATCTTATCAATATTAATTAAGTAAACTGATATATTTGGATTTATTGATTATTATATTACATTTTAGTTGTTCTTTTTGGCAGACACCTGAAGCTAAGCTAGCGTTATCATATTAGAGCTAAAAAAAAATAAAATAAAATAAAAAAAAAAGCACACCGGTGCATCCCTAAGGAAGGCCTCTTAAAAATAAATATTTAAAAAGAAAAAAAAAGAAAAATCCCTTATTTTCGGTGGAAACCACGATCAGTTTTTGCAGCTGAGCACAGACCCCTAGAATATACAATAAACATGGCTGTGATGGGTAGTAGTCGTTCTGGATTTAATCCTCCCGAGACCTAATCAGCTTGACCGAATGCCTGCCATACAACAACATGACGCAGAGTTTATCTGACTGGACTCCTGTCAAGACTTTGCTTTGTGAATGGCTGGACAGCCGTCAAGCTTTCTACCATACTGACTTGTTGTCAGACTCAGGACTAGTCCAACTTTCTTACTCCTTTTCTAAGAGCTCAGGAGTGGCAGCCTTAGCTACCAACCTGCTTTTCTTATTAACTGCCCATTTGTTTGTTATGCCTAAAGATTGAATCACTTCTTTCTTATTGCAAATACTGTAAAAACTCTTATTTCATCAATCCTCAGCAGCCGATCCCTGCACAAGCAACAAATTGATCAGACCTGCCATTATGAAGAACATTCAAAGGCCTTTAAACAGCGTGTTAGGAATTATAATTTGCTACAGTGGGTAACTCCTCTGAGCCCGCATAAAGGGGACTCGTTTGAAGCTCATTAGATTGAAGCACAAACTTCATAAAAGTCTAAACACTTCAGTGGAGAGCCGCACTAACAGACTAGACTACACATCACTCCTCGTGTCTAAGAGGAAATAAGACAAGGCAAAGACGTAATCAAACAAATGACAATTAGACTGGCACTGAGGCAGCAAGTCTAGCGGTGAATTAAAGACAAGAAACAGGCCACATGGGCACATGTGAGTGGAAATTACAAACGTGACTGGTGGGTTTATCCCCGCGCCCCTCCAAGGGGTGAATGGAAACCTGCTGAGTGGCAGGTTAATAAACACTTCCCTCCACTTGCCTAGACACCTGTCACGCTAGAATCTGTTCTCGCAGTAACCACCCGAATCCACTCACAGCATGCTCGGTGGATCAGCTCAGACGGTCCCTATAGTTAGCTCAACCAGGCTGTTGATTACCTATATTACAACACAATCAATAAATCAATAAATAAATAAATAGTGCCTGCTGGAAAAGAAAATAGAGGCACATTTGGATACAACCCCAGAAACTGACATTTTCAGTCAGAAAAATGTCAGCGAATGACGCAGCATTGAGTCTCAAGGCAAACTCCTATTCAAGCGCACATTGCGTGTTCCCATGCTATTCTTTGCCTCCTTTCACCGGAGTGTTCTTCAGGCTACCTCCTGTTTACTTATTTCCTTTTTAAAAGGTTCCCTTTCTCTGGTCCAGGAGCAGCCTCAACCACAGCAGCTTAAATAGGAGGATGAAAAGATGAAAAGAGAGGACAGAAGGAGGAGGAGGAAGAAGTGGAGTAGGAGGAGGAAGGGGCTTTAGCTCAAGGTCTGATCGCTGCGACTTTTACTGTGGGTATACACACAAACAGCCCTCATGAGTCATTTGCTCGGCTATGTACAAACACAAAGACACCTCGGCCCACCTTTACCTAATCATAAGTCACCGTGAACACACCAGCCAGGGGAGAGAGCCTGCTGCTGACATAAAACCAAACAACAGAGCAGCAGAGAGATGCACAAACACACATATGCACATAAAACAAAATTACAATGGCTGAAATGGTTTATTATTGTATGCCTTAGTTAAAGGTGAGGAGCTTTACAAGCCTGGTGTATTGAGGCCTAATACACTTTGTGTGTGTGTATACATGTCTGTGTCTTCTTGGGATATCGCCTGCTAATGACCTTAATAGCCTGAAGTTACTCGTGGTCATGTGGGTCACGCTCGCTACAACAGCCAGACATGGTCATGCTTTTGCAGGCAGTCTTATGCCCTTTAGTCGACTTACTCAAGAGTTATTTCTGCAACTTGTGGTTTCCCATGGAGGTGAAACTAAAACTAAAACTGACATTTTACACATCTCAAAAGCACTCAGTTAAGTTTTATTTACATAGCACCAAATCACAACGACAACAGGAGCCTCCAGGGGCTTAATATTGTAAGGTAAAGACCTTACAATAATACAGAGAAAACCCCAATAACCAGACAACCCCCTAGCAAGCACTTGGCGACAGTGGGAAAGACAAACTCCCCTTTAAACAGGAAGAAACCTCCACCAGAATCAAGCTTAGGGAGGGGCAGCCATCTGCGACCAATTGGGGGTTAGGGGAAGGAGGCGAGAGCAGAGGCCTCCTGCTTACGATAGCCGGAAAACTCCGACAATCCATCAAGCGGTGCAGCTTCGTAGCTTAGCAAAGTCGTACCAAAACATTTGGCAGATTTTCGAGCGCCGTGTACATAAAATCATTTCGAGGTCAGTAAGCACAACCAGAATTCCAACATAAGGCACACGGGATTTTTCAGAAAATCAAAGAATTTTAAGAGCGACTTAGATTCCGAAAAACACGGTAGTAACGACGGGCCGCCTTCATGCTCTACCAAAAAATGTGCTTTGTTGTGTATCTGACGGACGAAAGCTAAACCAGTTCCACACCACTGAAGTTGCAGCATTTTTACAAACCAATTCTGGTTCATCAGTTTCATTCAACGATCCGCTTTCTCCCTTCTCATTCTCCGTCGCCGCCATGAGCGTATGAAAACAAAGGCACTGCGCATGTGCATTTTACCCATATTCTATCGCGATATTTCATTTTCTTATCGTTGCCCAACATTATACCGGTATTACTGTGAAAGGTATGATATGGCCCAGCCCTAGTGCAAAGTATACACACAGATGTTGAAAAGGGGTGAATGAAGAAGAAACAGTGCATCATGGGAAGCCCTGAGCAGCCTATTGAGCTGTAACTACGGGCGGGTTCAATGTCACCTGATAGAGGTGACCCAGACCTTTGTCTTTAAGACACTCCTGCAGTTTAACTAATTGGTCTATGTCTGGCTTCAATGACATATAAAGCTGGGTATCATCTGCATAACAATGAATGTGCTATTCCTTTTAATATTAATCAAAACACCAACTTGTGATCAAAACATTCGAGGCACAAGCTGTGAAATATTTTTGTTTCAGTGGTTTAAAACTAATAATACTAAATATTAAGGCTAAAGTAAATACTAAGGAAGGGTCAGGGCTAAGTGAGCAGTACTAATAGAAATGAATAGAATTATTCACTGTAAACAAAGGAAGTGTTTATTAGTAAACTGCAGATGTCGCTGTTGGGTGAAAAGATAAATGATACAATGAGTAGCCAAATATATTAGTTGTCCACATACCTGGGCAGCCCACCAAAGTAAAGTCTATGCATGGTGAAACAGCACTGCCTCCCTCTGAAAATTTTACAAACACTCACAGGCCACTTCATTAAATACACCTGTTCAACTGCTTGTTATCCCAAATATCCAATCAGCCAATCACGTGCCAGCAACTAAGTGCACTGAAACCTGCAGACACGTAACTTAAAGTTACACAACTATGCCAGAAATTATGCTGACAAGAATCTGCCACAGACAGATCTGGCGAAGCACTCAAAAGCACATTTCTAGTAGCTGCTGCTACACAAAGTGTCGTCAAGACTGCACTCTGACAAGACGACGCACACACATTCGCAAGGTGAAAACCGTAACTTGTACACTTTTGCACCTGGTAACAAAATCCCCAATAAAAGTGCAAACTAATCACATTATTGCTCTGGATTATTAACAGCTTCATAGACGTGCTCATAAAATCCTGCAAAGCAACTAGCTGAGGAGCCCTATGAAATCAACATAATGCACTCATCAGGAGGCACAGTAACCTCTTAAGTTAAACATTTGTCTTTGTAGCCATGATAACGCATTATCATGAGAGACACTCATTACATGGTTTTATGTCTAAACATCATGAAATGGTTCTTAGTTTAATTTCAGTCATAACTATATCACTGGTGTCCATCAACCATACATGAAAGGGTGCCCAATAAAGCTTGAGCGCTTACACACAAGGGCCACTGTCTGTATATTTTCTGGGACATTAGCAGTCAGGTCTGATAATAAAGGCTTGTTTAAAAAGAAAACAAAGACCTGCCACAGTGCGGTGTTTCCATTTCGGTGACTGATGCTTTAGAACTAGCTTCCCGTTACAGGTGCCTTCCTTGAACGTGGTGTATAAACCCATGTACGGAAATCCTGCTTTCATCGTCATCCTCCTCATCATCCGTGGTGCTTAGTTTCTGTAGAAACAAGGCTGAATAAAGCAAGACACTCACCCGTGAAGCTATTCTCAACTTGTATGAGTTTCATAAGACACTCAGAGACAGGGAGGGAGGGACATGACCTTTAAATAACTCATCTACAGGCAACAGCCAGAATGTTCCAATGGGCAGCTGCAACTTTTGTTCACTTTCCTGCATTAATAATCAGGTGAAGGGCGACAGATGGTCAGAAGAGACGAACAGCATCAGGCTGCTGACAAGCAGAATAATAACTAAAACAAACAATGGCACTGTAACAGCGCAGAGATATCGCAAGTTTCCATATCAGCATATAGGCATCACGCCTCTGATTAAAGACAAAATCTATCTCCATACATATCATATCGTCACTGTGAATGCTTCTATTGAGCCCAGCCTTTTCATTTGATGTCAACCCTCGGGAGGGAGCAGGAAGGCAGGAGGAGAGCGCAGATATGATGAACTTTAACAAGACCTATTAGACACATCCGGCTCTGTTTATAGTTGAAAGCAAAACAAAGGTTTCAAGCACAAGCACAGCCCCCAGCGAACAAATACTGACAGAAGAATAATGGTGGGGACAAGGATACGTCAGCTTTTATCTAACCCACTAATGCAACCCTTTAGGCAAAGTGGAGTTTTTGCTCAACGAAAATAAAAAGGCAGGCTTTTTTTTCCCCCTAACATCATGTCCAGGGTTATTTTTTGGGCAGTGCAGCATCTGAATGCTGCCACTCAGGGTCATGCATGCCGTGTGATGTACCACTGATATGCAAACTCAAACCCAAAAACAAATGACTCATGAGGAAATACTTTTGGTAATATGAATTCCTGCATTATTGAGCGGGGCTGCTGAAGTGAGGTTTACTCAAACAGTCACGATCAGCACATGATGTAACAGCCAACAGCATGGAAATTACACACTCCTTCCTGCCCTCCAGCCCTCTGGCCATGCAGCATCAGCGCTATTATTTCACCTTGTAGTTACATAATCAAGGATATAAACAATAGATTCTTCCTCAACAACTGGTCACTCTCCTCCATAGGATGTTAAAACGTGATTCTGATCAAATAGTAATCACATTTGAACTCTGTATGGCGACAAAAAAACTAAAGCCCTGTACCAACTGGTTTAATCAAAAATCCAGTTTGACAGCACCTTTTAGAGGTCAGAGGTTCCGACTGTAAGTGAACACACCACACGAGCACTTTATCTTTCTGGGGGTGCAACCGAGGTACAAAACATGAAAATATGTAAAATATTACGCTAACATTTGTTTGTTTTTAAGTGCTTTTGAGTGTTTCGGTTGAGACTAGAAGTTGATTTTAAAAATTCACTGTTACACTGGGCCAGGAAATGAGAAGAAGCGTGTTTTTCCTCTCTCTCTCTTTTAAACGGCATCAAAAGCCGTCAGACTCTGGCACAGTTAGGCCAAACTAACTAACACGATACAACAAATGCGTCCGTTATACTTTTATCTGTTAAGGGCGACTAATTTCAAACGGTGGGGGTTGAACTTAGGCCTCGAGTTAGCGGTCTCAGGAAAGATAAAAAGAAAACCAAAATAATCCGCATTTTGGGTGACCCCGAAGAGACGCTGGGACAGCTTGGGTGTCATAAAATAATAGCCCTCATTTTTCTCCCTCCCCTCCAGAACGACAGCCATTTATTGTGTTTCACAAATAAAATAAGCGTTTCTTACCCAGCACGTAAATCGTAGCAAAGTTTCATGAACACTGAGATTGCCTTTTAGTCTGCTTTATCCTTCTGTACACCTGCTGCTCAGGACGTCAAATTAGCGCCAGTCTCACGGCGAATGCCGCTCACTCCGTCCATCCATCCCGACGATACATCCGCTAATTTCTGAAAGCCGACTAAATGTTGTCTCCTGCTGAGAGCTGAGCGGTCAGGCAGGCAGACAGTGGGAAAAAAATACCAGTTGCGTGTCCCCCCTCCTCCCTAGAGAGAGCTTTCCTGACCAGCGCCGTTGGCCCGGAGCTTGCAGATACCGGCGCTGCTCCGATCTGTTGTCGATCTACACAGACTGGCAGAGAGAGCAGGGCCGAGGAAATTTCGTCAGTGTGCGGCGCTTCTTTCTTAAAGGGGCCGCCGCCGCCTGGGGCTGACGCTTCACAGCAAAGCTTCACAAACGGGACGCGAGCGGAAACACCGCGACTTCTCCTTACCACCGCCCTGTGGCTGCCTCTCTCACATCCTGATAAATTATAGAACAGGTGGCTAAACAATGGCCTCCTTATAATGCACTTAATCGCTGTAAATCAACCCGCTACTGCAGCAATATCATCTTTTCTATTGAGTCATATATAGGAAATATCTTCAGTGTTGTTTTTAATATTTTTTAAAAGTTTATTGTTAGTTTCTCCTGTTAAACTTTCTTCAAATCAACACCAGTAACAATATAATATAAATCCTGTTTTGGCCCTATTCCTTTTTGCCCTGCCTGCCAGCTGATACTATACATTTACTGTAATAACCAAAATGACACTAATAGCAATGGATAAATTAACAGAAAAAGGAAACACAGGGACAAGAGGAGCCTATAGATTATTTATATGCTTGGAAAATCTAAATTTTCCGGCACAACATCGCATTCTAATTCTGCTGCCAGACGTGACAGGTTTTAAGGGGTGTAAAAGTCACCAATAACAAAAGCTTCCTCCTTTTTCTTTATAAAAAAAAATCACTTAGCTTCTTCAAGCACACTTATAAAGAAATTGCTGGCATATTTACAGACCTGTTTGCCAAGGTCTTCCTGATATTTCAAATCTCTATCTGCTCTGCCATGGAATAAACAAACAAACACTGAAACATGGTGGATACTGGATCTAGAAGTTAAAATGAGCTCTCCAGGCTTCTTGGAGTTTTGCTGCTTTTTGGTTTTCTCTCTGTCGAGATGATCCCACACTCCTTCAGTAATGCTGGGGAGGCCAGTCCATGAATAGTTTTCCACTGTGTTGTTTTCTATCTAGGTATGCTTTGAATGCAGTGTGGGTCGTTGTGATGCTGGAAAGTGACGCTTTCCAAATGGCATTGCATGGTGGGTCAAAATCCCATGGTACTTGTGTTCATCAGTGATGATAAGATCGCCAACACAGCTGGCTTAAATGTCAGCACCAAGCCATGACAGAGCCTCCTTTACAGATGACACTCACTGTTGTACCGCTCTTCTGACCTCCATATTGATAATGATTTGAACCAAAAATGTCATTTGTCAAACTTTTCTGTTTGTTTCCTTTCTTTAAGAATGGCTTTCGGACAGCTATCCACCGAGACCGTTCTAATAAGGCTTCATTTCTTGGGTTCATGACTTTCGGATACTGTTCATCTATTGTAGATACTTTGCTCTGCGTTTGCCCCCTGTGAACCCACAGTAAGGCTGATGTCTTAAATGAGTCAATATGTAATATAAATCTTGAGTACAGCAACTTCAGACACCTTACTTTTGAAAATAGGCACTTTCCATAAATCCTTAAAATACAGTTCAGGATACTAACCTTTGCATAGTCTTTGATGTCCGTCTTTGAGATTCTCCTGGTCTTTTCGAATAACAGAATCCCAGAGGGGCCTCTTGTATGAAGTTATCCCACTGTTTGAGCAATTGTGTGATGAAGTGATCTTGAGCTAACAGACCGCTTTGACCGTCCTCTTTCCACTGTTTGAGTTCAAATGAGAAAAAAAGAAGAGAGCTTTGAAAGGAGCGAAGAGTGAAACGGATAGAAACTGAGAGAGAAACAGGAGTTAACTGACCTCTGGCCCCTCAGATAAGACCATAGATTACGGGGAAGTAATCACAAGTGCTTTCAATGGCTGCTGTCAGACTACCAATGAGCCCAGTGAGGATCGCAGTAGCTCTGTCTTCACTAGAGTTCTGCCCTGGTTGGCCTGCAGCTTTGCTTGTGTCGTTTTAGCTTCAACAAAAGACAAAGAAAGACAGTAGATGTTTAGATTACCTTCACATTTGTGTAGGCAAATGTGTGAGGCACGGGATTTTCCATATGTAGTTCAAGAGTATTTTGTACAGACTTTACATGAAAGGGTATACTTAGAGTTTGAGTTATCTAGAGCTTCCTGTAGTATTCTGCATCACTAATCAGATTATATGAAATAAAGCCTAATTAGCAAGACAAGCCTACTGATTAAAATACAGCTTTGCACCACTTATCCGTCTGCTATGTAAAATTTTAGATTGCTATTTGAACAAATAATTACTTTTATGGAAGCAGCAACCTACATCGTTTGGGGGAGGGGGGGGAGGGGGCAGTATGGAAGTGCCTAAAGGTGTAGTTCTTCAAATGGCCACTAGGGGTGGCTCCAAAAGTGGGTCAATCCTAATTTACTCCAATTTTAAAATGACAATCTTTGGAGCTGAAACAAACATTTTTACAGCCAGGTACAGATTTATTCTCTGCAGAGTCATTCATTTAATTACTTTAGATTTTGTGCATTGGATAGGGTTTGTGGCCAGGTGCTTTTTGTCTTCTTTGCCTTTTGATTGTACGAGTGAGCTGTTCGATTTCTTTAGTAAGTAAAGCGTGTCTTTTTTGCTAAGCTAAGTTAGCATGTAATATCAAAGTGAATTATGAATGCACCTTGTTAACCTTGCTAGCCCAGGTCTACACTTTTAAATGAGATATCAGAAATGAACTGTTGATGTCGCCATGTAATTAGGTAATTAGCAGTGGTGCATTCAAAGTTATCACAAGTTAACAGTAATACATACTGGAATATCACAGTAGATTATCACTACAGGACAATTTCTTGGATCCACATAATGCTTCACCTGTTTTAGAAGTATTGTATTCCAACATGTTGGTTGTTCTGAGCACAGGTAACCTACATATGATGTTTTGGGAAGTACTTTGGACATTGTATGTAGGCATCGTCTAAGAAGGACATTCCCTGGGCTCATCGGACAGAACACATGACAGCACATGGACATAAGGAGAATGTTTGACAAGGAGTGATATGTTATCGATTTTCAGGTCAGCGTGACTTACCTCAAAGTAGTAGACAGACAACTGAAAAGTGTGGGATAGCTCAAGATCATATAAGCTAACTCTGTCACCTTTAAAAAAAGAAAAGTTTTAAATTTGAATTTAAAAGTACAGGGACTGTCTGTCTCCTGAATCCAAAGTGGGAGCTGGCTCCACAGGAGAGGAGCCTGATAGCTGAAGTCTGCCTCTTAAGACTACCTCTTAAGGAAACACAAGCAGGAGTGACTGGAGATTTGTATTCAGGGAGTAAGATTTAGAATTTGCTTAACTGCACCACCCTGGATCAGATACTTGGACAGTCAGATAATCCGGTCGTTAAGTGATGACATGACGAATCCTACTTCCGGGCCTAAAGTAGTCTGCGTTTAATATGGCTTTTGTGTTGTTAACATGTTTAATGTTTTGTATTTTCTTCTATTTAATCTCAAAAAGCTCCTAAAACAGTCAGTGATCACTGTTGACCTCCCTCGGCTTTTATTACCGCTAATCATTTATTTAAGCTCAGTTTTTAAAACCTTAGGATGTAACTACAGCCCAGCCCATGCAGCAGTATTGTGGATGGATTATCTCAGTTGTTCTCCTGGCTGAAGTTTGGTCCTTTTACAGCATCCTGCCATGCGATTACATTTGTTCCTGACCACCGAGAACACTCACGTTAACTTTTATCGAGTGGAAAAAAAGTTAGCTTGTTTATATTATGCTAACATAACTGTGTCGCTAGCGGTCACGTAGCACATCATTATATACCAGCTAGCCCAACTTCAGTAACCCTGCAAACGTCACTGCTGTTTAGTTTTCTGTCTTCATTTATGCTGGAAGTGATAGCAGAGCTGTACGTTTTAATTTGTTTCCAAAACCCCGCAGTCAGGACATGCTATATTGTATTTAGATAGAAACTAGCGAGCTAACTTCCTGCTAACTTCTAACTCCGTTAAATGTCATAAATTCCGTTTTCATGGATGCCTGGATGTTAAACTCAATTGTTACACCTGGTAGAGCAGAACGCTGATCATTTTATTAAAGATGAAAGACTTTAGACAGTTTTTCAACTCTCAGTAATGCCATAGTGATCGTTTGATATGTGGACCTGCAGCGGAGTTTAGACCCAGACACGGCTAGTGACGTCAGACTTAACGACCGGATAAGGAAACCCATTAAAACCAGCCTCAAAGTAATTAATGCACATTTTTAATGTTCATGTCTTCATGTTAGAGTATGTTAGGGTTCATGGACACATAAACTTTCTCCAAACTTCCTCACAGTAGTACTGGAGACCCAAGGTAATGCCATCCTGTCATCAACATATTGTTAGAAACAATGTTGCTTATGGTTGTTGTTGTTTTTTAAGTTATTTAGTTCTTAATTTTATTTAACATTTTGTTTTGAGTTTTTTTGGAGCGGGCATAATCATCTTAGACGGATCGATAGCTGGATATCATCTGCATAGCTTACAGTTTTCTAATAGTACTGCCCCTTAGGGAGCATGCATAGAGTACATAAAAAGACGTGACTTAAACCAGCTTGGTGCTGTTCCTTTTATTCCAATATTGAATTACAGTCTCTACAGCAGAATGTTGCGATCAAATGTGCACCAAGAGCATAGTACTAATACCTTTTCTCAAGCTAGGTTAAAGTATGGTAGATGTTTTTAACATGCAACTATACTATTGCGGGAATATTTGATTCAGTATTACATCAATCACAAATTCCTTGTAATCTCTATTACATCATCCTCTTGAAGGCCAAATTGAGCCACCTAAACCAGTGTGCCCTCTCTATGTCTATGTTTTAGTCCTCTTGTCTTTTGCAGGTTATTTCAGCAGCGGCTGCTTTGTCATGACCTTGCAAAATTTGACCTGTAAATACTATGAGCTCCAACGGGATACTGCTCAGGGTTTCAGATTGTGCAGTAACCAAGAGGACTAAAGCTTTTAGATGGGATTCCCCTCAGTCGCGCTTAGAGCGCACGCACAGACGTACACAACAATGGGCTTGTGATCCTCTTCATATGTCTTCTAGCAAAGCTACCGCTGTTGAGATTTCCCAAATCCTCCCACTGCACTCATTTAGAAATCCTGTAATAAACCTCTTAATCCCAAACCAGCATTTTCTAGAGGGTTGCACAACCGAGCGTGTCTTATGCAACTGGCCGAGCATTCTGAGTCAATTATAGAACAGTTGGG